TATAAGGCAGTGACAATGACTTGAGATTTGAGCCTGAGAGACTGAGGAAAAAATCAGGAAAAGGAGCTGTCTGGGGGAAAGCAGAGGAGGTGAATCTCTTGACTTTGGTGGGACACCTTAGTGTAATTCCTCTCAATGAGGTAGTACAGGCCACTAAATAAATTCAGCTCACCGAGACAGAGAGGATCAAGAGAACACTCCAACTCAAGGCTAAGTGGAGGAAGACAGCTATTGATGTTCTGTGTTTATTGTAACCTGTTGTATTTATTCATCAAGCTTTATATGTCTCATTATTTACTATTTGAAAAAAATGTTCTTCACCTACCGTCCAGGAATATTGTGACACTTGATTAGGTATTTAACATGGTCTCCTAATCCTATGGATTGCTTTCTAAGAAGTAACTAGAATTGAATTTTAATTTTTACATATATGAAATTAATTTACATATTTTGCCTCCTGCCAATCAACCTTTTTGGAAATTAAGAAGGAAACATAAATTCTCCTGTTTTCCCTTCAGCCATGAGAGAGCACCACAACCCCCTTCTTTCTAGCATGTTCTCATGAGTATGCCCATCCAGAAGGGAAGACAGCTGGAAAGAGAGAGTCAATCTATTCAAATGTTTAAGTAGAGTATGTACACTCACTTTATTTTTAAAACCTCTCAACAAAACTGTTCTATGAACAACTCAAAGTCGTTCTAAGTACCCAAATACCATTTGTTTCTTGTACAAAATGGCAGCATTTCAACGTCTATCAAAGCTGCAGCAAATATTTTATGACTCACAAATACAGGGCCTTATACAAAATACGCAGTTACATGGAATATGAATAAGACAATACTTATCATTGCCTAATTGTTTGAAGGAAAACAAGCTGTCGGACTTCTTAAAAGTCCTAAAAGGATTCGTACCGCTTTTTCAGCTTCTTAGGCAGGTAGATGATATTTATAAGCCTCTAGCCTCAGGAGAAGCAAATTAGAATCAAGTAATTCTGCAGCTACATTTCAAATGGAGTCAAACCTACAGAGTTTGCATTACATAGCTTCTGTACAATTTCTAAGTCTGAGAACTGAGTCTTCAGGAGCATCAAATAAGTCTTCCATTACAGATGAGGAAACCAAAGCTAGGAAATGACAGCCTGAATTTACCCAGCCAGCTGGAGGCTGAAATTGGATTTGACCAATACCAGTATTTTCTCCTAGATAGCAAAAAGCAATGGACTCTCGTTAGAATGTGTGCATTAATTCTCTATCTTTATCTGATTAGCAATTTTTACTAAGTAGTTCTGGTAAACAAAGCAGTTGTTTAGGTTTTCTCAGTTATGTGCCACTTCACAATGACATGATGCAAATCACGTTTGCTCTTCTCCCAGTTTTTCTAGGATCAGGTCAACAGTGTCCTGTCTTAGAAACACGCCTCAGTGATAGTGCCTAAGTCATCAATTCTTCCCACCTGTCAGTACGATAAAAATAGTCATCCCTTTCTGACAGCTTTTCTTTTTCTTTTTCTTTTTTTTCCCCTTAGGTATAATAAGCCTGGAAAAGATACTAGAGTAGGTTATTTCAAACTTCTACAATACATAAAACAAAATATTTCCATGCAAAACACTTTTTGTCTACCAACAAGACATGCTGCACCCAGATTTTCAAGAGCCAGAATGCTCAGGAAAAAAAAAAAAGGTGTTTATGTAGGAATTGGGCCAATGGAGATTGTCTATTGGGAATAGAGACAGACCAAAGATGAGCTTGTAAAAGTCTAAGGGAAACAAGAAACTATTTTAGAGAGAAACCCATCTTCTCTGATTACTTTTTTTTAATACTTTGAGAATCCTGACAATTTTGACAAAAAAATTGACCAAAGACTCAACAATTTTTAATGTTGAGTTTATTTCTTACTGACCAGCATTTATATCCACCAAATATTTTAATTCTCTATATAGAAAGAATAATACAAAATATTCTCCCATATCAACATTACAGTAATTTGTATATGCTGAGGCTAAACTATACAATATAACTAGGATATGCAAAAGATAGGAAACATATATACCCCTAGTATCATTTTCACAAGAGCAAGAGAAATGACTGTGTGTCTTCATTTCTACTTCTCCTCTGGAGGACTTTTGATATTGAGGCTAGAATACCACCTGTCCTCCTAACTCTGCCTTAAAAGACAAGTTGAGCGAGCACTGCTGTGGCATCATTATCTCCATAGAGATTACGGAACTGGGAGCTCAGTCTTCTGCCTGCTCAAAAGCTACAGACTGAGAGGGCTATTAATAAACCCACCCCCCTTTTTTTAAGCTAGAAGGGAATTGGAGCTTAGCCATCCAAGCACAGAAAATTTAAGATCCAGAAGGATTTGTAACAATAGCAATAATAACAACAGATACAAATGCCTTGATTTTACAATTATTGTCTGAATGATGTTTTAAATTGTATGGTATCAAACAAGTTGATATTAGGTATAAACCATAATATCATTAGAAAGTGACTTTCTATCTGTAAAAGTGTGTTTTAGAAATAAATTTGGCATGTGTTTTTCAATCCTCAAAATTTCTGGCTGAAATTTTTTTTCTGGTGGGAAGATGATTCTCACGTTTCAAAGATTCTGGAGAAAGTTTCTCCATAGTGAAGAGAATGGGTTGGAAAGAAGGAATAACAGGTGATGGTATTAAAAGTGTAAGACAATGTACAGGTGGCAGAATGCCTCAGAAAACTCACAGTAGGTGTACGAATTGCATTAACCGAGTAGGTCAATAGAAATGAAAGTGCATGGAGTACTGGGAAAAAGATATTTTCATACCAAAAATGTACTGATATTCAAAATCACAGATTTGCCCTAAATCAGCTAAGACGCAAAGGCTACTCTCTTCTCCACTGACCCTTACACACACACACACACACACACACACACACACACACACACACTTCATATAATCTGTCTTTGAAAAGGGAATCACCACAGTTGTCATCTGTTTACAATGTTCCATGGGCTTTGAAGCAAGTAGGTCCGTGCATCACACACTTACTTTATTGCTTCAAAGACTAGCCACCACAGAAAGGGGTTAGATGGCCTAGAAAGGGAAACACTTTACTTTGTTAATAATAGGCACATGGAAAGTGGATTCTCTAGGCTTATCTAACACGTTTACCTCATATTTCATGGGGGCATGGATTTACTGAATCACTTGCTAATGACAATTTCTGGAAGAAGTTACCAAGTCTCTATAGTCTAACAACCAATAATCAGATGCTAGGAAGTAAACCATATCTGCTTATCCATTTTCAAATCCAAGTCCACAATTCTATTAAAATTACTTTCTCAAAAGAGTTCCATTGTAGTATGAAAAGGTAACTTTGTAAAGGAAAAGTTCAAATATTCTTTTAAATTATCTTAGTTTATTCATTAGTTTGAAAAAATAATCATTTAATGGACTCAGTAAAATTACTGTTGTATTGTTGCTATAGTGTTTCATCTACAGATATTATAATGCTCCCCATATTATAAGATGTCAACACAGAAGAAATACACAATTTTTTCCACACCTTACTAATGAACATAAATTCAACTTTTTGTCCATCTCCCAGATCACTCTTCTGGCCCAGGAATTGCTGGTAGTTGCTTACCATGTTTTGATATTGTTATTATAGTAACGTGTGGAATTTCAAAACAACTGATTTCCTCATTTTGCTATATGGCCCAAGTCAGTGCTCCAGACAGCTACGATTTGGCAAAAATGAGATTTTAGTTTTAAAAGAGCAGGGTGGTGATTTACTTTACAATATGCATACATTATAATTTAAATCCCATTTATTTCTATTCCATTTGTACTTTTAAATCATAATAAAGTAGGACCAATAATTAAAAATCAGTGTCCTAGAGCTTTGGCAGGAACCCTCTGTATTAACAAAACACTTAAAAATCTATGAAATACTTTGATATATAAAAAAAGTAGCAAACCTGATCATTCTCGTTTCTCTCTTCTAGTAAAGCTCATTGAATTTAAATACACTTATGTATAATGTACTACCAATTTCACCTACTTCTTTGAAAATACTGTATTGAAGTGTAAAAGATGTGAAGATTATTTTTAAAGCACTCCATTTATTATTAATTCAAAATGAGATAAACTTACATTCTTAGTTTTTTAAAGAAATGCAGAGTATTTTCGAAAACTCATTTTATGTGTGGTACCCACCCACCTCTTTCCTTTTTTCCTTGAAAATCCTAATGAGGAAGAGTGACTTTTGAGCTTTGTCATCTCAGCCTAGGTACTAAAAGCAGCCAACATTACTACTGTTGCCATATCTGTCTTTCTCTCTATTATACAAGTACATCGATGATGTAATTGCAGAAGTTAGGGTTTACTCAAGCTGTTGGAGTGAGGGATTTTTTTTAGATTGCCTCCTTCAGCAGGATAGAGCAATTGTAAAACAGAACCAAGTACACAATTTAAGCAGTTCATCTCTGGAAAGCAAATCTGCAGTATCTTCATCTTGAAGGGCTGATCAACAGCTCGAAATGCAAAACCATTGGTCAAGCTCAATTTGCTCCAGACTGGATGCTGAGCTGGAAAAACACCTGGGTGACAACAGTGCTAGTCTATGACACCTTGGCTTTTAACCCCTTCCAAGAAGTCCTCAACTTTTCTGTTTAGCTCTAATTTTTCCCCCAAATCCCAAGGGATTAGAAAATGTCCTCGCCTTTTATTGCAGCCTTGTTTTTTCCTAAGCAGATCTTCCCCCGAAAGTTGAGCACAAACTGAGCAATCATTTATCATTCTGCATTTAAAATAAAACAGTACCTGAGAAGTCTATGATCCTCAGCAGAACCAACCATATTACAAACACAGGAGAGCTGAGCGTTTAAAAATCATCTACTACACTAGAACCCCCCTGGTTGTTCTTCAAAGTGCAGATAAAAAGAATCGACCAGAAATGACAGACACAAAAATCACATGCAGATGAGGCAGCGCATACCGGGAAAAGAGAACATACCTGAGGGATTCTCCTTTAAAAAAAAATGCACACACCAGCTGGGCTGTTCCTCCCCTCCTTCTGGAGCGCCTGTGTTTTCCTTTCAGGAACACCACTTGCAATGCCGTTTCTAGTCTCCTTTCCTTTTTTTCGGCCACAAATAGTTGAAGCGGAGGCTGCGTCCTAGCGATCCGACTCAAGTGCAGTCAGGCATGCCTGTGGGCTGCAACGGTGTCTGTTCTTGTCAATTCTCTCGTGCTCCCCGGGCAGCCTGCAAAGCAATTTTACAACTTAGCTGCTGGCGCCAAACTGCCTTTCACTCTCCTCATTGCCAAATTCCTTCAGCAGCTCGTTTCTCATCTCTGTCTCTAGGAAAGCCAGAGGGGTTGTCTCCCGTGCGCCGACGAGCGCCCGGGTTCATCAACAATTGAGGGGCAGGAGCAGCGAGGCTGAGTGCGTGCTGGGAACTTCCCAAGCGCTGCCTCGGCCGCTGCTCTGGGGAATGCAGCACAGCCACCGTGCTGCCCCAGCCTCCTCTACCCAGAGCGCCTCGGCTCCCTCTGCCGCTGCCGCTGCCGCTGCACAGAGAAGCTCCTCCGAGCTGAGCCACAGCCCTTGCTCGCAGGAGATGCACTGTGGCCGCTGCCAGGTGTGGCCGTCACCACCGCACTGACAACTAACTGTGCGGGGCGCAGCTTCATATCTGGGGAAGACGCCTGTAATGCTGGCGCTTCCTCAGCCTAATTTTCCCTGTATCGCTGAGTGATGACCTAGGAGACAATCGTATGGCCAGTTCTGCTAGCCTCGTTTGCAGCCTCTTTTATAACAGAGATAATGTAATAATTACTGGTTTAGATGAGGTTAGCTGTGCTCGGAATCATGAAAAGTACAGTGCGCAGAGTGTAATTCCCAATTAGCCACCAAAAGACAACTAACAGAACACCCTATTTAGAGAGAGGAGATGCTGAGATCTCATCCCAGGTGGTCTTCTTCTTTTTAATGTGTGGAAAACCATTTGAATTAAATCCTCAAAAATCTGAATTAAAGACACATACACAAAGTGGGAAATGGTAGATAACTTAGAATGATCCAAAGGTTTTGTTTCTCACTTAGAAAGACTGCCTTCCCGTTTGATATGAGCATTTTACAGATCTGGCTAGGAACTGAATGGCCTTGCTTTCTTTTTTAGTTTTGCAGAGCAGAGGAGGTAGGGGGAGTAATAGCTCCCACTTTCCATCAATAAAGCATTTTCTATCCTCTAACCCTCCTGTTGAAACAAACACAAAAAAGTACTGGATCTTAAAATAAAGCCTTAGAGAAGCTCAAGTCCTGGAATAATCTGTAGGTTTGAAGCTGCATCTGGTCTGCTGGCTTACTTCTATTTACTTTTCTCAGCTTTTTAGAAAACAGGAGGATGTTTCCAGGACGAAAGAACAGTCGACTATAAGCCGAGATCAACCAGTATAAGAAACACAGACAGATGTGTGTGTCATTTTTCAATACATTTAAGGATGGATATTCCTTGACCAACTTTACAATTGACTCTACTTTGCCGAAATATTTACTCTACAATAGCTGCCAGCGAAATGAATGGTTAACCTTGATATCACAGTTTTGGCTAAACCTGTGGCCAAACACACTCCATTGACTATATATGACAACCAAATAATACCTCTATGACTGTTTTAAAAAAATGTCCCCAAATTTAACACAATGTATGTATCAGGTGCTGGTAGCCAAGTGCTTTCCCACTCCCAGCTCTCAGCCCCACCTTTAGCTCACAGCAGCACAGCTTCCTCAACCTGCTGCTTAAGTGACTATTAATAGACTTGAGCAGCTGCTCAAGGTCTAATGAGCTGCATCGGGGGGCAAACACTGGGGCAGTGTGATCCCCACCTTCAGCAGCCACCAGCGTGGCTGCCAGGACAAAACTCAGCTGCCCCAGGGTTTTAAGCACTCAACAGTAGGAAAGGAAAACTCTTAGACCTGAAAGTAGATTGTAAGGCAAACCATGACTTTTTTATACAGAAAAATTCAGGCTAGTCAAGACACAGTTTTTGAGAGTGCCCTTCAATACACAGAGGAAAGAAACGCCTATTCAGAGTCTTCTTTTCTTCTTTTTCTGGTGTGCAATACCCACAACAAAGTGCTGAGGCTATGCCCAGCTGAGAGCCCCCAGTACCCAGCATAGTACAATATATATAAGTCCTCAGTAAACTGGGGTATAATGTCAGTGTTTTAAATGTTTAAACCTACAGAAGGAAATACAAGAGGATCCTAACCCTGATGGTCTCCAGAATGTGTTATGCAGTGTAAAGAAAAGAGGTGTGAAAAATATTGCTCTAATTCAAATACACTCATAGAGGAAATAACAACAGGGTTACTGATCATCAGTCTGTTTTTAAGACGAACGCTCCAAAGCCAGTGTGTGTGTTCTGATAAATGTACTGCTTAACTCTAATCATCAGCATTCTGGTTACATATTTCAAAATGGAAATTGTTTACATCTCTGAAAGTGGCAGGAATCATGTGTCTGAGGGATACCCGCTGCTAATAAAATAGGTCACTACTGGAAAGAGTGACAGAGCTTGATGACTTCACTGACCTGCAAGGACACCACAGTTCCTAATAGAATTTCCTAGGTGCTTGTTGGGTAGTTTTCACCTGCTGAGTATCTGATTTGAATGATGTGTACTCACAATGATATAAATGCAGCATTGAGTTAGAGTCCTGCACATGCTTATCAATAAAACACAGTCATTTCTGCAAAGAGCTTTTCAAAGTCTTGGATTAGTGACATTAAGCAACACAGGAGAGTAAACGATTGATTTCCATATATATACTTACAACTTCACATACACACACCCCAAAACTTATTCACAGATTGATTAAGACAATAAGATCATGTTTTCCTCTAAGTCTTCCAGCTGTAATTTCAGGAGGAATAAAACGTCGAGGGCACTATTCAACTCCCACGTCCCAGGACATAAGCTGGGCCAGATCATTTGCCTCATTTATGTCTCAGATGGGAGAAAAGCAAGCTGTCTGGATCAATGGTCATTTTTTATTGATAGTAAAGCTTGACGAAACCAAAAGGATGAAGTAAAAGGGCCATTCTTGTATAATTTTGTTATTGCCAGTGCACCTGGCTTTAAGCAACAAAGGAATTCTTGAAAAAGCATAAATCAAACTTGTGTGCACTGAATTGTATTTTCAGCTTGCTAGAAAACCTCGCTCTTTATTTCAGGGAACTGGGAACCAATCACTAGACCTCACTATTTTTAAAAAACTGTGACCAGTCGTTGGCTCTCTGTATCCATTCAAATGAATTGGTAAAATTGATTAACTGTCAAGATGATTGAGGACAAAAACATGATTACATCTAAAATAGCAAGCTGTTGTTTCTAGCTCTGTGTAACTGAATAATACCTAGGGGAACAAATATTTTGGAATAAGCCACCCAGTGCAATTTGGAAATACTTGCAAAATGTTGATTTCATGATAGCAAAGCACACACTAAGTTCTGCTTTTAATGCTTTCCATTTAATTATGGATCACTTAAAAATTGTACCTAGAGCAGAAGTAACTGTGTAACTTCAGAGACTAGGTCACACAAGGTACTGCAGATTTCCTTTGCCCACTCTTTCTTGCTCACTCTGGGAGAAGCTAGCTGCATGTCATGAGGACACTCAAGCAGCCCAGGAGAAAGCCAACATGGTCAGGAACTAAGGTCTTCTGCCAACAGCCAGATAGGAACTGAGACTTCCTGCCAACTGTCACGTGCACGAGCTATTATGAAAGCTGAACTTCTATAGCCACATTCAAGCTTTGACCTGACTACAGCCCCTTCTGACATGCTGAATGAAACCACCAAAGGAACCCCTAAGGCAGAAATACCCAGCAGCTAAGTTATTCCTGAAATTCTGACCCACAGAAACTGTAATATAATAAACATTCATTGTTTAGAAGAAAGAAGGAAAAGAAGGAAGGACGGAGGGAAAGAAGGAGGAAAGGAAGGAGGGAAGGAAGGAAGGAAGGAAGGAAGGAAGGGAGGAAGGGAGGGAGGGAGGAAGGAAGGAAGGAAAGGAAAAAGAAAGATAGAAACAAAGAGAAAGAAAGAAGGAAAGAAAAAGAGAAAGAAAGAAAGAAAGGAAGGAAGAAAGAGAAAGAAAGAAAGAGAGGGAGGAAGGGGGAGGGAGGAAGGAAGAAAGAGAAAGAAAAAAAATGTACCTTTGAAATTTCCAAATGAGGAAATTAATTGACATGTAGATTTAAGTACACTTAAGTGTTTTAAGGTATAAAAATTTTAGGTTCAACAAATTCAATAACAAGATGAGCATATACCATACTTTCCTAGTCAGTATTGGTAGTTTTCTTCTCTGGGCCTTCTTAGCACTTTTATAAACCTCTATTATAGCATTAATTGATTATAAAGTAGTTAACTATTAATTTACTCATCTGTTTGCTGTTCCATGCTAGAAGGTTCCTTGAGGACAGAGATCATGGTCACTTATGTTTCTATCATCAATGCCCAGACGAAGGCCAGGCTCATGAAAGGTAGGTTGAGTGAGTAACACTGTGCTTAGTTAGTAGAGCACAGAGTTAATGAGGCTAAGGACATGAGTTGCGTCCCTGTGTAGCCAATTAGCTTTGTTCTATTTCTTGGTCCAAGTGGCACCCTTAGTTCACACCAGCTGTCTCATATATATGTGCCAGATCAAACCTTCTAACTACATACTTCAACAGTGGGGAGTCCGTAACACAATAATAATATCTAAGGTTTAAAGCCCTTACAAAGTGTTTTTCCATGCGTTTTCTCATTTGATACTTATCTTTAAAAACCTGCAAGACATAGTAGTCCTGTTATTGGCCCCATATTCACATGATGAAGCAGACTCAGAAAGGCTACATGACTTACCTGATTGCACAGAACTAGTAAGTGATGGAGACTAGGTAACAAATCAGCCATTCAACTCCTATTTTAAGACTGGTTCCAAGGCAAGGAGCTGACAGGTATCTATTTAAACTAACACCATAATAGACGGCAAATGTTGTAAGTTGTTTTTTTTTAAAATAAATAAAGTGAATGAAATTATTCACGCAGATGATCTTTTAGAATATTTCTGCCTGGATAATTGTCATTACACCTTGGGTGATGATCGTTCACTACTGGATGCTATCTGGCATGAGAGCATCTATACTCTCATTCTGATGTGCTGGTTTTTATTTTCCTTATGTAAAATTAGTTGTCAGCACTGTACTCAAGCAAAT